GGTGTCTGTGACCTAGAAATTGTGACTGTGATTCATAGTAATAGAGTTGTGACCAGTTAAAATTTTGATTTTTTCAATCTGTGACCTATAAAAAAATTTTAATTCGTGGTGGAGAAATAATCTGTGACCATAAAATTCGGTGACCTAAAAATTATTAATTTGTGACCAATAAATTGTTACATATGCTCACATTTATATGATTTAAGTCTTATTTTTTAATATGAGAAACTACCCATGCATTTTGAAGTATAGACTTCAATGAAAAACTATCTAGACTTGTGACACTCTAATATCATTTTCACAAATCTGTCGCTTTTTCGAGTCTAGAGATAGATGTATACTACATGGACACATTCCATTTCACAAAAGCAAGGTGCCAAGGAAACCACTTATAGGTATATTCATGATAACCCGAGTAGGAAAACATAGTTACATTCGTAATTACTCATCCACTTATCGTAATTCTTGATAGTTCCATGCCCTTTTTTTGGATGTTTCAAGGATCAAAAGGAGATTAGCCCCCATTTGGTGTCAATTAAAATAAGATTTTTAGTAATTTTTTATAAAAATTGATGAAGTGTGTGATTGAAAAGTTGTGGGTAAATATGTGATTAAAATTAATTATTGACTTTAAATTGAAATTAAAATCTAATTTTCATATACAGCAAATCTTTTAGCAGAAAAAAAATTCTTAAAAATGCACCAACATACATCCAAAGGCATAGACTGATTTTCTATCAGTTCCCATACTCTCATTTAAGATATCCCTTTTGTCCTTGTTTCCTCTATTTCTTTTATTTTTATATATAGATTTCTTGATAGTCTCAAGAGTTAATCATAAGCAAGAGAAATTAACAATTCACTTTCAAATGTTGTGTAGGTCCAGGGCCAAAACTAAAAGTTGCAGGTGAGAATTTATGCTCACTTTGAGCTTCTATTGTGAATATAAAGAATGTAACATTTTCTCCAGTTACAGCGAAAGAACTAAATCTGTTTCCTTTGTATACAGGTGAGGTAATTGGTCCTTTGCTTGCTGTGTTCCTTGCTATCGCATCATATTGGATTTATAGATCAATCAAACTGAAAAAAGAGACTGAATTAAAAATTGAGCAATTCTTGGTGGATTACAAGGCACTCAAGCTAACAAGATATTCGTATGCAGACATAAAGAAAATCACGGATAACTTTATCAAAAAACTTGGTGAAGGAGGATATGGAACAGTTTACAAAGGAAAGTTGTCTAATGATGTTTTTGTTGCGATCAAGATCCTCAATCATTCTAAAGGGAATAGCGAAGATTTCATCAATGAAGTGGGCACAATAGGTAGAATCGACCATGTCAATGTGATTCGTCTTGTTGGATATTGTGCCGATGGTTTTAGACGAGCTCTTGTTTATGAGTTTCTGCCTAATGATTCACTTTAAAAGTTTATATCTTCCGAAAAATAGGGGTGTAAGCTCGGGTGGGAGAAGTTGCACAAAATTGTGTTCCAAGGAGCACAGTATCGTGTCCATGACTGCAGCAAGGGGTACAATAGGTTATATTGCGCCGGAGGTTTTTCTCGAGAAACTTTGGGAATGTTTCGTATAAATCGGATGTTTATAGTTTTGGGATGTTGCTTCTTGAGATGGTTGGAGGATTGAAAAAAAATGATGTTGGTGGGCAGGACAAAAGTCAAGTTTATTTTCCAGAATGGATTTATAATAAACTGGAGCACGGAGAAGAAATAGCTATCCAAATTNATTTACAATAAACTGGAGCACAGAGAAGTAATAGCTATCCAAATTGAGATAGAGGGCAACAATAAGATTGTTAGAAAACTAACGATTGTGGGACTTTGGTGCAGTCAGTGGTATCCAGTTGAGCGACCCTCCATGAAAGTAGTAATTCAAATGCTTGAATCAGAAGAAACTGCTTCCATGCCACGTAACCCATTTACTTCCACGAATGGAACGCAGAATGCAACAAATGCACGTGGAAGAATATTCAGCAGCGAACTTGAAATCATTTCAGAATCCGAGTGACGGAGTGAGGCATTAAATACTGAAAACTGTTCAACTGCTCCATAACTTTTGAGACGTGGTTTTGCAAGTAGAAGTATGTTGGCCAGATAGTACTTTGTATCCGATACTATGTAATAAACATGCATCAAATATTTATGATCTCAGCTTTGTGTGTAGAAGGATGATCATCTTCCATTATGTTGGCTCTGTTATGAATAAGAAATTAAAACATTTTTCGTAGTTTTTCTTTTTTACTTTATGAATTTGGTACAGGATCAGATGGGATGTTCTAAATTCAAAATGTAAAAGCTAACCTCACTATCAAAACCACACATATAAAAAGCATATCGATCAGCTTCGTGAGGATCGTGATGCTATCATTTTGGCTGTAGAAGCTGGGAATTTGGGAAATTTACACATAAGCTAATAAAATACAAGTTTCCAAAATACTGCATCTTCTAAATATTTTTTCTATAATAACGGGAAATCACAGAGACTTTATTTTAGGTAACTGCTCCATAAAAAATGCTTATCCCATTGGTAACTACTCCATAAACCAGCAAAATCAGAGATCTTAATCTGCTAAACTTATCAAATTGTCTCCGTTGGCTTGGCTCCTGGAAGGAAAGACTGGTCAGAAAACTCCATTTTCGAGATGACATGTAGTAGGTATTTCATGGTCTATTATTTTCGTTTTTCTATGAAAAATATGTTGAGTTTATTGCATTTGTTTCACAAATTACTATGGTAGTAGCATTTTTTTCTCAATATTGGCTAAACTTGAAAAATAATTCATGAAATCAGATTATGTTATTTTACTCAATAACAGTCGTGCAATGTAATTTATTATATTTCTTTTGATTTGGTTTCATGATTGTAATATTCTATATTTAGGATTTTGTAGAATTATTCTTTTAAATCAGGATTTCAGCCTTCAATTTAACAGGTACCACATATGTTACAATAATATGTTGAATTTGTGATTGCTAACGTCATATGTTACAATATCCGCTAGACTACATATTTTGTTATATCTATCATATGGTATGCAATATAAGTAAATTTAACAGAAGTGTTATTTTCGTTAGAATGTCATACTAAATAAATTTATCTGTTATATCTATTGCAATGAGTTACGCATGAGCCAATTGTTACTTTTTCTAATGGATTAAGAGGACAATGATATGTTACATCTACCAAAAATTGTTCAAAATTGATTTGTTTATCATACAACATTTTTTTGCATAGAAAGGTTGCAATGAATTTGTGAAAAAAATTATAATGTTATCATGAATTCGATTACACAATAAGTAATTTTGATTTACGGATTTTGTTGAGAGTCAAATACCACATGTTGCATCAAGATTAAAAGGTTGCATTATCTTTTACATTGTATGTAAAATTTCAAAGCGGAATTTGTGACCTCATTATGGACACATTGTGGTTTTTTTTTTTTTTTTTTTGCACATCCAATATTTGCAGGTATGGAAAATGGCCGGAATTCGCATCCCAATAGTTTCCTCATTTTCTTGTATCTCGGGGGTTAAGAAGCGAGTCACTTCCATGACATATTCTATTTGTTCTTTTAATGTAAATTTTAGCCGGTAGCAAGTAAACAGCCAGCCATTGTCATGTTTTGTTTGGTGTATTTGTGTTGAGTGCTGTTGATAAATCTTTTCTAAGCATCCTCACTCAAGAAGATGAATACAGTTACTCAGCTATATAACGCTTCTTTGTCGATATTTTTCTCTGCCCAATTCGTGTTTTGTATGAACTTGTAGTGTAGTAGGACTAGGAGGAGAACTCTCTCTCTCTCTCTCTCTCTCTCTCTCTCTGAGTACAAAGTACAAACGTATTTGGACAGGTGGAACTTATTTTCCATCTAATTATTTTACAATTGAGTTCTCATTTGCTACTCTTTGTGGTCTTTTTTCTTTTTTTAAACATATATAAACTATAAAATGACAATTTCTTGCAGTTGTTACCCAAAAATTTTGAACTTGTAAATATTTTTTGATTATTATCAACTTTTGACTATAATTTTAGTGTTAACCGGTAAAGATTTCATAGTAGCATTATGGATTAGACCAAACCCTTAAAAACTGGATTTTAATCTAAATTAATATCAACAATGAATTTAAATCATATATTTCAAGGGTCCCAAAACTTTTTAATTAGGATAGAAGTTTTTCTTTCCGGACGCTCCTTTTCCCCTACAAATAGTAATGTTGAAATAAAAAGGAATCAATAGTATTTTTTAATTTAAATAAGTAATGGCCATAATTTCCACATTAAACAATTACAATGAACTTACGAGCTCAAGGTCCAACCTAGCCCGATGCCAAAATGCAAGGGCGTTTATGTGTCAATTCCTTTGTTTAGTAAAAATTACACTAGTTTTAATATTTTGTTAGTAGAGTTGAAGAAAATAAATGAAAACTTGTCTCATGCAAAGACGGGAAATGAAATGAAGTCTATAAACAAAGAGATAGAACTCATGGTCTCATCATGAATTTGGTCCTCATGCGTCGCATAAGCTGTAGTCTTCTTGTAATTTGACTAAAAAGTCGATGCTCAATGTAGAATGAAAAACTATTAGCAGTCATCTTACTAGGATAGTAGGATGTTCATATTCATATTACTAGTAAATACCCATTGTACTCTTTTCCCCTTGACAGATATTTTGTCCCATTGAATTTTTCTGGCAATGCTTTTAACTAGACAACATTTGTGGCGTATTCTAAAGAATAAATGTACTCTTTTTCCTTCATTATGATTTTTTTCCACATAATTTTTCCTAATAAGGTTTTAAGGAGACATATTTTTATGTAATGAATGTCCATAACATACAAGATATTAATATTGAACATATTGATACAAGAATTGAAATCAGGGAGAACAACTATGCTCTTTTTTCTTGGATCAAGTTTTTGTCCCATTGAGTTATCTTGACAAAGTATTAATGAACATATATTTTGTAATGTGTCATTCAAGAGGGAGTGTCGTAAATTGTATGTTTATTAATGAATGATAATTGTATCCCCACTACCCTAAATTATTATCATTGTATCATAATCCTTATAAATATGGGGCATTGGTTCTCAATATAATACATACAATTCTATTGGCTTCACTTTTTTTTGTTCTATTTTTTTTCTCTCTAGTTTATAACATTAATTACCTTATTAATTTATAGTTAAACATGAAATGTATATAATTTTCACACCCATCACCTTTATATAATTTAAAGATTCTTTTTGAACGTTCATATGCAATGGCAAATGCAGACATTTGGAATTAGTGGGACACAATCAAACTTATAAAATGGTTACGAAAAAAATTAATTATTCGATATATTATTACAATTGTTCTCTACGTGGTACTTTTATAACGTTTGTAAATGGATTTCGCATATTAAAATACAGAAATCGTTACAAATTGTATTTGGAGAAATACGAATAAATATGAATTTTCTTGTAATTGCAAAATTGCAAAAACCCTCTAATTAATAATTTGAATATTTGAAGACGAGGAGCCACGTGACTGGAATCCTAGGTTTCGAGATTTGTTGAGAATTTGATTTGTCGAGAACTTGACTTGTTGACACTTGAATTTCAGAGCTTGGATTTGCACTTCGAAACTTGGGCTTAATCTTGACTTAATTCGAAAAAGATTTTGATCTTCTTGGGTTTGTTTGATTTGAAGAACATTTTGATATTCTTTGTGTTCGTCGGACTTGGGGTTGAGAGGATTTCTTCTCTTCCTTCAATTTTAGAGTTTCTCCAGTACTTCGTGATTTTTCTTCTTCACTTTTTTGCCTCCTTATTTATGGACCTTTGGTCCTATTTATAGGGCAAATCAGTGATCAATTTTGATAACCTCTCAATTAATTCAATCATAATTGATTATAATTAAATAATTGTGGATTTTGAAAGAGTGGGACGTGTCTTTAAAATTTGTAGTCCGAATTGGGTGAAGTTGTGGCGGATTGGACACTCAACAATTTTGGTTGTTTGTGGTATTTTATTATCTAAAAAAATAAAATAAAATTTTGGAAAAATTGATGGTCATGTGGCCCACCGGACGTCCGCCCCTTTTCATATGTCATCTTTTACTTCTAATTTTATTTATCTACAGATAATAAATCAAAATACGTTTCTAGTTATGTTGTCGAACTGTCAATATAATATTCACAATTCACAACAGTTTTTATCAGAAATGAACATGGTAAGAAATATGTGTTGGAGTAATTTTAGGGATCTTGCTTTAAATTTCAGTTACAAAATGTTTGTGAGAGGAATTATAGGAAAATAGTATTTTTAATATTAATTTATATAATATCTAGTATATTGGGTATATATAACTACTTGCAGTATTTCAAGAAATATTATTTTTAAATAGGATATATACGATTTTTTCTTGTTTCGTCTTCACGCGGTCCGAAAATTTCAGCACTGTAATCTCTTATCTTCATACTAAACTTATAAGTCGAAGTCGCTACCTAGTTGGCCTCTGTGTTCAATCTACTCAATGTAGATGGTGGATTCACGACTACATTAGTAGTGCAATAGCCCGATCCAATGCAATAAATATCAATTTAAATTTTGAGGAAATTACACCCACCCCTAGTTTTAGATTTCCATTTTCATAAATCCCATAACAAGTTTAACTTTTCAAAAATCAAGTTTTTTTATATTTAATTGAACATTAATTATATAATTTTGAAAACAATTAAAATAACCCAACTTAACCTAAAATTCATTCCATCTATCTACCACTGTATTCTCTCATCCCCTTCCCATTTCTCGTCCCCTTCGCTGTGCCTTCCCTTGCCGGAGAAATAAGTGATCCTGCAACCTGCTCACGGCCGACAACGCTTCTCTCTCCACTCTCATCTCAAAAGCCACCAAATAATTTCCTATCCACTCAAAAGCCACCGAAATATTAGCAGGTACAGGCGAATTCATGCGAGCCCTGCAATCCACAGCAAATCTGAAGTGGCGCCAGCGATCGAAGAATAC